AAAAAAAAAAAAAAAAAAAAAAAAAATCATGTTCGAGTAAAGTTGTAATTTTTCCATAATCATAATCACAACTACGATCAAAACTTCTTCATACATAAAATCTTGAATCTTTCACCCCACTCGACACATTACATTCGTAGTGGCCATTGCTTTAGCTGCCCAAACCAAACACTCCCAAGCCAACAAAGTATCAGTCCTGTCATTCTAAATCAATTCGAGCCTACCTTGTTAGAAAAGACACTACATATCATCAGAAAGATCGATAGTTTGATCTCCAATCTCAGAAGAATTATTGAATTCAAAAAATTACACGACCATTTAGGTGAATAATCAATAATGAATGTACGAGGCTTAGGCATGGAATACAATCTTCCCTCTCCCCAAAAGTAGAAAAAATGTCCCAAATGACATAGAATGTTGTGACTCTTGTTCTACCCTAATGGAAAACCTGATGCTATCTACAAAGAACATAAACAAAAGATATACATTATGAATGGGAGTCCCATGAAACTAAAAAAATTATTTTTCTCTCTTTTTTTGTTCTATGAAACAATGAAGAAATCAATCAAAATCATTTCCATTTCTTCCTGGCAACCAATAGGTGAAGTTGGGAGGTCCAAAGAAGCAGGAATAATACAAGGGAAACTCCAACAGATACCCAGAAATGCACCAACCAAGATGGCATTGGTTTGGGATATAAACCTAAAATAAGAACACACAACAAAGGAAACGTATTGGTAATATCATCAATGAACAATAAGAACAAGTTTTGTAATAAGATGAAGGAGCAAACCATGTCCAAATTTAACGCAAATTAGAAGCTCAACCATGCAAATGGCTAGAGATAGCCAACAAAACGCTCCAATCTTCTTTACCGGTTTCCTGGAATCACAGTTCGTTCAGTTTAGTCTCTAAATTTTCAAGTTTTTCTCTATTTAGTTCTTGAACGTACAATTTTGTGTCTAATATGTTCTTAAACTTTAAAAGATGTCTAGGAAATCCTTGAATCTTCAATTTTATGTCTAATGGATTCGTAAATCTTTGTTGAGAACCTATTAGACACGTTTTAAAGTTCAGAACTAAATAGATAAAAACGTGAAAGTTCAGAGATATTTAAGCTTCAAAGATTCATAATCTCGAACTGAGAAAACAGGAGGGAAGGGGGAGAAAACCTGTCTTGAAGGTAAACGTTGTACTCGCGAATTGTTGGTATGGCGATAAGCCACCATAAAACCAACCTGTATACTATTACAGGGTTTCTAGGAGGAATCCATAGACAGTACTTCAAGAAGAATGTGTTAAGCTCCACTGTCAAGAAGACGATGCAAAGAGCGAGAATTTGAATGAAACGCCATGGACCGAGTAAGGGATGCCACTCATCTTTATCCCATTGTGCTGGAGTGAACTGTCCCAAGCTCCGTTTCACCTGCAAATAAGACTACGCACTATTAGATCTTAGGACGAGTGGTATGGATGAAATCCTTTCAGCGCAACACGAGATGTACCCGAAAACGATGATAGTTGATAGATGAACAAAACAAGCTCAGTATTTCCCCTCAACCCAGATACAATGGTCACTTACAAAGAATGCAAGACTTACTTTCCCAATAATATTAGGCTGTCGACTTAGACCGACCCACTTGTATGTTTTCCCGTCGAAGTATCTGACAGTACGCATTCCTGCCCATATTCCTGCAAAACAAGTAACAGAACTGAACAAACACAAACACCAGATTTTGCTCATAGGCTTTATAGAACTGGAATATTTAAGACAATAGCTAGAAGGCAATAACTGGTCAGCCTCTACTTCCAATTTGCTAAGAACTCTACACATCAGTAGGTGGTAGGTGTAACTGTGAGATCTTATATCGATTGGAGAGAGGAATGAGTGTCAGCGAGGAAGCTAGGCCCCGAAGGGGAGTGGATTGTGCGATCCCACATCGATTAGACAAGGGAACAAAGCATTCTTTATAAGAATGTGGAAACCTCTCCATAGTAGACGCGTTTTAAAAACCTTGAGGGGAAGTCCGAAGAGGACAATATCTGCTGGCGGTGGGCTTGAGCCATTACAATAGCAGTTGGTAGGACTTTCATTCTTATCGACTTTGGGTTTCGATCTATATGACCTTCAAGCGGTACAAAGTCAACCTCTTCCGTAGAGACAGACAAATAGTAACATAACCTTGGGGAGCCCTCTGTACTCCCTACTCATTAGAGTTATACTAAGATCATTACACTGAGGTTTGATAACATTAGACAAGTAACTTGGAGTATTCCCAAACCATTACTAGAGAGTACCCCAGATAACCTAGTATAAGGAGGTCAATTTGCATACAGCATCTGGCTGATCAAGAGCAGCCATATTAAATCCATGGTTGCAACTCTCTCCACAGTTTCCCCATGTCATGGGCTTATCAGACTCATGGGGTATGGCTTACCATGTACTAGGGGTGTACACCCAACCCGAGAATCCAAGATCCAACCCAACACAACTCGAATTATAAGAGTTGAGTTGGGTTGGATTGGATTTCAGGTTTCGGTTGGGTTCATTTTTTTGAACCCGAACGATGGCATGTACTCATCATACACTAACAAAACAGGTAAGACCAGTTGGCACAAAGGAAAAAACTAACTAAAGAAGAATCGATATCGACTTGAACGGAAAACTTCAAGCTGAATGGCCTCAGAACAGTTATCGATCCCACCAGTCCAAAATTGAGTTCATGTTCTTTTGGTAATCTAGACTTTCAACAATTGAAAACCATATCCACATCATAGCTAGATCATCAAGATGAAGCAAAGCATTTTTCTGTGACAAATCCATAACTGGGGGTTCATTCAACACTCTTATAGATGAAAAGATAAACTCATAAAAGAGCATCAATATACATACACCCAATTTATTTCCAATTCCAGGTTTTGGTACGAGTGAGGAACTCACCAAACCAATTGCAAATTAATATGTCAAGAATGATACTGTCCCACCAGCATTCGTTGAAATTCGGTAGCATATGCCGGAAGGTAAGCTAAACAATAAGAGAAAAATTAATGTTAAACGGCCGACTTGAGCAAGAAATCGCACTAAGTCAATGATAAACAATACCCGAACTTAAGAACTCATTGAATTAGATTTTAGAGGTGTTCATGAGTTGGGTTGGATCGAGTTACGATATTTTTTAAACCCAGCTCAATTGTTCGGGTTTAAATTATTTCAACCCAAGTAACCCTTATTAAATAATGAACATTGGGCTGAATTTATTCACATTTTTGTTCTTAATAGAAGTAGAACGTTAATACATAAAATATATAATTATTTATTTTCAAACATTAAATAAAGATTTAAAACTTAATTTCAATATATATTTTGAAAAATTACCTTCGAGTTGTGGGAGAATAAATAATCGAGAAAAATAATTACGAAACTAAATAAAATTAAAAATAATAATAATAATACATTCACGTTAATTTGGTTCAACCAAACTAATTTAGAAGAATCTATGAACCAACTCAACTCATAAAGTTTTCATTTATTTAAACGTTTGGGTCGGTGAATTATAAACTTTTACAGATTAACTAACCGTCTCATAAATTTTGTTTATAAAAAAACTAACCTCCATTAACTCGAACCCAATTGATAGTACCCATAGAAGAGGCTGATTACGGATGAGTATAGCCTTACCCCACCATCCAATTATGTGAGCAGCAACAAATTCATCAAACAATGTTGCCTGAGTGAGCAAACGTAATCAGAAACATGAAGAACCATGTAATTATATACTTATAAATAAAGTTAAAGAAGAAATCATACATAGACATTCTTAAACCTGTTTGTGGGATTTTCAGGAACAAATATCCGACAATCTGTACCATAAGATCTCTCAGGAAGCTCTAAAATTCATGTATAAGAACAAAAAGAATGTATATTTAGAACATGCACTTGAAGAACAGACACCATTAAACAAACACCCATGAACTACGAGTATGAACTTATTACCAAGGCCTAGATCAGGATGGAGAAATTTCATGAATTCCCGAGCATCGTCACGCTTCTGAAAATAAATCTATGGATTAGAAAATACAGTATACAGAAGAAATCAGTGATATTGAAGCTAACACTCTGAATCTGTATCTTGAATGCTGAGTGGCATGAGAGTAGCTAGATGGTTTTATCAAGGAATTAGACGCAAAATATGAACAATCCAAGGGTATATATGTGAGATCCTATATCGGTTGGAGAAGGGAACGAAACATTCTTTATAAGGGTGTGAAAATCTCTCTTTAGTAGACGCGTTTTAAAACCACGAGACTAACGGCGATACGTAACGGGCCAAAACAGACAAGATCTACTAAAGGTGGGCTTGGGCGGTGTACTTGAATGGTTAAGAATCCATGAATTCCAGAAAGAAAATCTACCTGGAAAAGTAAAAATGTGAGTGCTACAAGATAAATGACAGCCAAGCCATGTACTAGGCGCCATACCGCTGGATGCGGCCGAATAAGAATCCTGCATGATAATGTTGCAAACCTGGTAAAACTAATCATGCAATGGTGACATATTCGTATTCATGCCAGAAAAAATCAATCCCCTAAAAGTGAAACCACCAAAAAACTATAAGCAATATGCAAGGAAGAACTCACGTAGAAGGAGCTTGAAGCAAGCAGTAGGCAAGGAATACAGCGATCATTGCCCACACACCCCTATGAGAATCAGCAAGAACTGAAGTTCATGAAGAGTAAAAGAGAAATAATTGTTCTTTTAGGAGAAGTATTTATGATTCTGAAGCAAACCTTGTAACGGATGTAACAAGATCACTTGATGCAGTGCATTCAGGATCTAGAGCTCCACTGACCCAGCTGATAAACACATCCGAATAACAAAATAAATTCATAACTGCAAATAGTTCATGCAAAAGAGAAACAAAAGGACTTCTTTCAAAATTTGAAAAAATGATTGAAGAAGACAACAAGAACATCCAAGAACTGAATATTACCATGCACTAGGAAACAGAGCCTCTAATGCCCTCCCGTTATTCTTCCTATCCAAAGTGTTAGAATCCAACCCAAAACTATAAATGTCGAACACCATGGTTCTGAACGCGATGAAGAGGATAGGTGAAAGAAAAAATAAGAGCAAAAGTTATTATTCTGTTCCAAACAAGATGAAAAGACATAAGACATGGACACAAGTGGTTTCCATGTAGTTTAGAATAGATTATAAGCAGCTCAATTGTCTACCAACCAAAACATGAACTTCCATCTTTTAGCAAACAAAAGCGTACTTCATTAGTCAAGAAATTGAACATGGAAGTAATTATCAAATAATTTGTCGACTTCGAATTATAAAGACATAATCAGAGAACAGAACACTCACATAAGAAAGCAGGCGCCAACAAGCAATAAAGAAACCGTGCGTGGTTTATAGGCCCATGCAGTCCACGGATCGAGATCATCTATGTTTGATAAAAGAGAATCACCACTCTCTCGAATCACATGATTCTTTTTACTCACTCTCCTTGGACCAATAAGTTCCATTGATTGAACTGAAAAGGTTAAATTTTCCTACTGCAAAACATGATGACACACCATTGGTATTCATAAAAGACAGTAAGCTGTACACTCGCAGTGAGGGTGGGGGGAAGAAGAATCCCAAATGGTTAAAGAAATTATACAGAGCAGGCATCACCCAATTCACATACATATTTACATAAAACGAGCAGATTATCACGAATATAAAAAACGTGGAGAATGTGATTACGGTTGAGCACATAAGAATTGAAAGAGAGTAGTGACATGTTGGCAATATGATGAAGGTTGTTCTTGAGGTGGATTTCAATGAAGGAGACATAAACTCAAAGGGAAAGCTAATATTCCTGAAATTACAAAACAAAGACCCCACCAACAATAGATATAAAGAAGCTACAATAACAGGCAGCAAACGGCAGGCACATTGATAAGGTAACCAATCAATCATTCATCACAGACTGAACCACGGCATGTAGTGAAACATTGGCATGCACAACAAAGAAAAATGCAATCATAAAATAACCACTTCGAAAACACACAGTCGAATCCTTAAACAAGCTATCAAGAAAACAGTTTCTTCACCACCAATGCAATGAAATTACAAATAGTCCTGTTGAAAGATTCCATCACAGCATGCAACCAAGTGAGGCTGACATACTTCGGTCAAAAAGTATGTAACACAAAAGGGCTGTTAGGTGAAGTGATCAACAAAACATTCCACTGAAGCATGTGAGATTTATCCCCTTTGCCAAACATAAGGAATCGACCCTACAAGTTCCCTATTATTGACATTGAAGCCCTCGCCATTCTATTTCTAATCAAACCATCTTCTGACATGTAGAGTATAAAGTCAAAGAGACTCTCTAAACACTCCAATCACTTAAGATGGAAAGTAGTATTCGTTGAGAGATGGCTGCTAGCAATCCACATTGCCCTCCAGAGAAGATTGAATTGCCCACATCAATTCCACTTGCATAAAGAGAAGCTAACTAACATTATTGCAATCTGACAGTGACACCCCAACCACACCGCTAGCAGATATTGTCCTCTTGGGGCTTTCTCTTTCGGGCTTCTTCTCAAGGTTTTACTTCCTATAGTTATACGTCCCTCGTTGCAAATTGGGAAGGTCTTTTGTAAACACCATGGATTATACATCCCTCTTGTAAATTTCAATCCTCAATAAAAAAAAGTCTCTTATTAAGGAAACGCATCTGCTAAAGAGAGGTTTTCACACCCATATAAAAGAATGCTTCGTTTTCCTCTCTAACCAATGTGGGATCTCACAATCCACCCTCCTTCGGGGCCCAGCGTTCTCGCTGGCACACCGCCCGATGTCCATCCCCCTTTAGGGTTCAACGTCTTTGCTGGCACACCGTTTGGTGTCTGACTTTGATACCATTTATAACAGCTCAAACCCACCGCTAGAATATTGTCCTCTTTGGGCTTTCCCTCAAACTTTTTAAAACGCGTCTACTAGGGAGAGAATTCCACACCCTTATAAAAAATGTTTCGTTCCCCTCCCCAACCGATGCGGGATCTCACAATTCATCCCTCTTCGGGTCTCAACATCCTCGCTGGCACTCATTCCTCTCTCCAATCGATGTGGGGTCTCATAGACAGAAAACTCCAAAATTTGATGTCTTCCTTGCAGAGGCTGTCAAACATTTTGATAAAGCTCGACAAGTAGCTTCTTCATCACCATATAGCAGAAATTAATTGAACTCTATATCACTCAACAAAAACTATTATGGCATTCCATGCAAGTAATGACCAAGAATTCAAAACCCTCAAGCAGCCCGCTTCTCTCTGCCTTCCTCTCCCCAGATCTTTCTAACATGAAAATGTGTGTTAACAGAGCAATCTCTCCGTCTCTCTCCCCAGATCTTTCCCATAAATAATCCAAAATACCCTTCGTCTAGAATCTACTTCCGCATCCATCTGTAAGTTGTAAATCAATAGAACTTTTCCCTTAACTTCAATAATAAGCGCATTACCAAAGTATACCCAACTTCAGGGGGGAGGAAAAGGAGAGAGAGAGAGAGAGAGAGAGAAAAGGCAAGTATGATGCAAAAATATAGTAATTGAAAACAATGAATAAGCACGGATCCAAAAAGCTATCAAAAAAAACCCCATACGATTCAAAGAACCACTTCAAACCTTCTAACAGGCTGTTTACCATTGAACAAATGCAAATCGTGATAGAAATCGAGTGAAATAAACTAAACCACAAACGAGCAAAAGCACAAACCAGGAAATAACACAACCCAAAATTCACTCACGACTTCAAAGAGAAGGGGAAACAAAAATACAAAGAATCAAAAACAACGAATCCAATTCAATTCCCCTAAAAGCTTAAAGAATCACAAAAGATAAAGACATAGCAAAAAAGACATACGCACTCAGCAGCACAGCGCGGATAAAGAATCACAAAGCGAATGAAGATGCCGACACCGCAGAGAGATGCAAAACATCAATCCAGAAACAGGGGAACGATGCCGAAAGGATTAAAGCGAGAAACGAATACAAAACACTTCAATCCCCTTTCGGCAATTGGAAGTATTAGACTACAGAAGCTTATTCACATAGAAAACTGAACTGTGAGCTGAGAAACGGCGGCGCAGCCGTGAAATTGAGAAGAAACAGAATCGCAAGTATGAATCAGAGAAGAAGAGGGATAGACGGCAGTAGAGAGAGGATAAAAAGAGTGAGAGAGAGGATAAAAAGAGTGAAAGAGCAGTGATGAGAATCAGAAAGATTGGGAGAGATTGTGAGAACAGTGAATGAGTGAAAGTAAGAGAAATGGGTGTCTGTGAAAGAGAGTGATGGAGGTACAAACATGGCGGATTGAAGAAGAAGAAGAAGAAGACGAGAAGAAAAGTTGAAATTTACAAAAGCGAATCAAACAGAGGGAGTGATAGCGAGAGGTCGTGTGGGCAATGGTCAAAGATAATAGATTCCAAGGGTTTTGGATTTATTTATTTTTTTATTTATCAATAAATATCACAGACAAATAAATAAATAAATATATATATATATATATTAAATTTTGTGCAAAAATGGATTTAATTCAAAGTAATTGGTTTAAATAAAATTTTAAGTTATTATTATTATTATTTAGAGATAAAAGTTAAAATTTTCTAAAAATTAATTATGAGAAAATGTTATGTTTAATAAATTTACTTAAAAATAGGTTATATTTTTTAATTTACTCTAAAAAAAATTAATTGAGAAATTTATTTTTAAAGCTTAATTAGACAATTAATTGAAGGACAATGAAGAGCTTAATTTCAAACTTGAATTAAAGATAAAATTAAAGTATAATTAATAAAAGAAATTTAAGTCAATTTAATTTTTAAAAATGACAATAAATACTAAAAATTTAATGGGCCTAAATAATTTTGCAAAAAACATCACTAAATAAAATTATTTGGGTTTAAAAATTATATTTGTCTTTAATTTCTGAAATTAATATTTAAAGAGAATATTGATGTGACATTTCATACAATAAATGTTTGTATTTTTGAAAGACGAAACTTTATTTTTTATACTAAAAATTAGATTGGAATTATTTGAGTCTCTCGTAAATTTTGAGATAAAGAAAACATACCCGTATTATATAGAAGAAAAGAACAACGGAGCCAAAATACAATTGCACGTCTTCAACTGTTGAGGCTCGACCCTATGGTTAACCTAATAGGCTGAAGTCGGTGAGGCACCCGTCATGCATGCTCCAGCTCGTTGCATCTTAGTTTAGTGTAATCGGATTCATATTAAACCTAATTTGAGGGAGAAACACAGAAAATTCAAAGGATTTAGATTCCGAATTTTTTTTAATTAAAATATGAATTAAATAGAGATATTGATAATGGAGTAGTAGAGGATGGGACCCAAATGGCATCAAAATTAATAGACTTCATTGATGAGGAATATGCAATGTGTCCAAACAAGGGTAAGCATAGGTGCAACATATTGAGTAGGCCATACTATTATTAATCAAAACTTCAACTTTCTAACAAAAATAAAAAATCGATTTTGTTAAAGAATTTTTACTCGAGCTTCGGTAATTCCGACATAATACAAACAGAAGAACATGGACAGAGACGTTATAATCTCTCACATATAGTGTCAATGTTTGAAGTGGGAGGGTAATCCTCCCAGTAAACTGAGCGTTCCCTAAATCGACTTCACTATTAAATAATCATGCATTACGGTAGAATCTCTCAATTCTCGATCATCATTTCCTCACACGTACTACCCTAAACCAACTCCACTGTTAAATAGTCATGCATTACGATAGAAACTCCCAATTCTCGAAAAAAAATAAAGCCCTTTTCATCATTTTTTCACACGTACTACCCAAAACTGACTCCACTGTTAAATAGTCAAGCATTACGATAGAAACTCCCAATTCTCGAAAAAATATAGTCCTTTTCATCCTTTATTCGCACGTACTACCCACAGCAGCATTCAAGTATTATTCTCATGATAGGTAATAAACATCAATCGGATGACTTAAACTGGCATTATGTTGAAAGTCAAACTGCCATGGATAGCGATTCTTAGTCGTCTAAGTTTTTTTTTGTGTATTCATGATTGCATTTTTTCCCCCAACCAAGATCTTTGACTCTTTGTTGTGAAGATGCAAGTGAACATAATTCATTAGATACGGCACTAATTGTAACAGCCCTAATCCACCGCTAACAGATATTGTCCACTTTGACCCATTACGTATCGTCATCAGCATCACGATTTTAAAACGTGTCTACTAAGAAAAGGTTTCCAACCCTTACAAGTAATGTTTCGTTCACTTCTCTAACTGAACCGATGTGTGACACTACGTAATATTAATATTATAATCTCTTTTTGGCAATATTGGCCACACAAGGAGAGGAACTGACGAGAACATTAAATTATTGGGGTTTTTTTTTGTTGGTATGGGGATATGTATTAAGTAGGGATGTGCATAGCTGGTTGAGATCAGATCTGCAAAATGTGGGGAAAGATATTAAAGAAGAGTGGCCCATTGTCTTACCCAATATACTGCAAATTATGCTCAAATGTTTTTTTTTTTATTTTTAAAGTCTATAATAACCATTTAAACAAATCAATATAATATACTTGTCTTGGTTTTTTTTTTTTTTTTTTTTTTT